ATTTTTAAAGATTGTTTCATTTTCTCGAAAACTACCCGGCCAAATCCAATCGATTATTTTGCAGCTTTTATTTCTAAATTTTGATTGGTGAAAGTTGAAAAAACATAGTGCTAAAAATTTCTCTGCGTAAACGGTTACACCCAATTCTTTTGAAAAAAGTTGGTGTGGTTTTAAGGAAAAGTCCATTTTTCGAAATTTTTTGCAAACATTTACTTGTTCTTGAAAACTATCCGGCCAAAATTGACATTTAGCTAACTGAAAGAAAGCGTAGTAAGAACCTTCCCTGCATTAGCGGCTAATTCATTTATTTTTACAGAACCGCTATCATTTTGGGTAAAGTCGAACTTAAGAAGTTTTCAAAAATTACGTTTTTCATCCCGCATCAGTACATATTCTGAAAAAAAAATCAATTTTGTACCTCCAGCTTTAGCTGTGTCCTTTTTCCTTATATTGCTTAAATTCTTGCAATTGTAGTTGAGTCAAAGGCATTTTGCTGATAAACTTTTGATATTAGACTTTTTTATTTTTACTTATCAGTCTCTTCTTAATCAAAGGGAAGCTTTTGATTTGTTTTAATTAAAAAAATTCATTCATACGTGTGAGGGAACTTAGTGAAGACACTTATATAGTTCGTGTTCATTTTTGCTTCGTTTTTTTTTGGAAAAAAATTGTTCACGCTCAATTTGGATTTTTTTGCGGTTGGACTCCGATTTTTTTAAAAGTTCCTTTCCAATTCATTTGCTAAAAGGTAGGCAAATTATCATCACTAATAATGAAAAAGCAAAGGGTGCGATAAAAACCGTGAGATTTTTTTTTTTGAAAAATGACTTTAATGTTCAGAATTTCCAGCGGACTATGTTTCCATTTTTTGCCAACTATGTTCCTTCACCTGGTTGGAGTTTGTCGAATAAGTTTTTTTGAATCATAATTGTGTCAGACAATGGCACGCTCGTGCCCACTTGAGATACTGATTATTAAAAAGTTTTCAGTCATTTTTTACCCTTGAACAAGATCACACATTTATTTTTGCAAGTGTATCAAATTGAGATCTTTTTGGTAGTACATGCGCCCCAAATGACATATATGAGTTTTGAATAGAATAAAAAAATGTTTGGTCAAAAAAAGCTTGCTTAAATGCATGAAAATTGTTTTTTTTTCCTTTAAGGCCCCACCCCTCAGCAATGAACAGTCCCTAATAATATATAACAGTGCGGGCTTTGATTTTTTCTTACTAGGATCGAAATACTCCAAAGAAAAATTGTCGAAATAGTACACGATTTTGACTAAGAAAGATATTGGATCAATTATACTCAACTAACCACTATTGCTACCAAATGCCAATTTAATATTCTGATATCTCTATTCTTATCAAAATGAATGAAAAACTTGCCTGTTCAATCTTCGCTGTTCTGCTAACAAGGTCCTACATTCTAAATTACATCGATTGTCCCTCAAAATGATGTGAACTACTTGAAAACTAAACTATTTCATTTTCATTTTCTTGCGTTCAAGTTCTTGCTAGGCAGTCTGAAAATATCTTATGGATACGAACAATATTTATATTTTTAAAATTTCAAGCATCATGGATCAAAAGAGTTGCCTTAACAGAAATCCCGGTGACATTATCTTGTCCAATACAAGTGCGAGAGAAAAATTTCCTATATATTGAATTACTGCAACAGATAAATTCTAGGAGCAAACAAGATAACTGAATAAAAGCTATGGTACAAATTCATTTCAAGACTGAAGAACTTTAAAAAAAATACATTTCCAAGAGGCTTGTCTTCATGCATGGTAATTCCCAGTTAGAACATATTAAATCTTCTTTGACAACCTTGTTAAGTTGATGGGTCCCGCACAAAAAAAATCAATTTTTGTCGATTACAAGGGGACGGAAAAAGAGGCAATGTTTGTTATAATATTGATATTATTCCAATCAGTGCTTTGAATTTAGACTTCCCGTCGTCTGATAGTGGTAGATCAGACACAGATGCGTCGCTCGAAGAGGCCTCTACACCTAGCTTCTCTCTAAGGAAAGTGGAACAAGAGTTGATTCACATGTCACTTCTGGAAGATACAGGACTGAAGTGGCATTCATTGCTGTCTTTGAGCTACGTCTGTGAGTTGTTATGTAACAAACTAGCCATTCGAAAAACCAGTTTTTTCGACAATCCTTGTTTTTGGTTTAAGGGGCCTTCAGCAAAGTTTTGTCGGCTTAAAGACCGCTTCGTAAATTTTATTTCAATGCTAATTTAACGTTGGCATATCGCTTTTTTGACATGTTTTCCTAATAAAGAATCTACTCGCGACAAAATTTTGGTAGATATAATTTGTTTACTCAAGCGAGCTTGCAAGTAAGTATTGTGTTAAAAAACAAGTCCATTTTTCCAAGCCAGCTCGCATAAAATTGTGCTCACATTAGAAGCATGTGTTCTCCGCTTTATAATTGGCTGCAGTTGTGTAGCGCTGGCGACTTGGAATTTCGAGGTACATGGTTTGATTCATTAACCCTAACTGGACGATGGTACGAATTCGTACCGAATTACAAAACAAAGCGTAGCATTCGAACAGCGAATCACACGTTTTTGGTATTGACGTCATCCGCTCGGCGAATCAAATTTGATTAACACAGTGAATAATACATTGCGAGGAGTGCTGCTGACAATTACTAGAGCGCGTCTTTGTGAGTTCGAATCGAATAACGGAAATTCATCTCGGTTTAGTGCAGAAAAATCCCCGTAGCAACTTTTCCACCTGTTTTTGGGGCCTGAAACTTTGCAAACTTACTCTTCAGCATCTATCGAACCAATCGCTTGTTGAATTTAGAATCTCCGCTTCATGGGCGTTCCAAACTCCCGTTTTTCAGACAGAGTACGAATTCGTACCACTCGGCAGATCAGTTCACTTGTGATTTTGTTTTTTCAGTTCTGTTTATGGCAGACCCGGGCACAGAAGACTTCGAATGTTCTGTCAAATGGACTACTGGTATTATCGACACAGTTTTATTGACAGAATTGATCCTTCCTTTCAATTTGCACCTCGAATGGAGACACGACTCGGCTTGGAGAGGGGTGCTTTTACGAAGTATCGACTGGGCAACTTTGGAAGTGGAATGGGAAAATAATACGACAAATATTGTAGAAATTGAAGACGTAAGTCCTCTAAATGTCTCTGTATTTATTGGAGAAGAAGTTTACTGGAAAGAAGACAATACTAAAGGTGAGATTATCAGAATTGAACGGCTGCAAGTTGGAGACACTGTAAACGACTTCAACCAAAACAGTGAGAACGTTATGCCAACGGAGCCAAGCGATGATCAAATTGAGATTGACACCGAAAGTCATGTTGAAAACAGCGCCGCTGCGGAAAACTCTTTGATTCAAGAACAAAGCAACATTGAAGAGCGGCAAGAAAGACTTCGTTTGAGAGACTTCGCAGCACGAAGCCGACGTCCTACTGTGAGTTCGAGTGAGTCAGAATCAGATGAAGCCGGTGATGAAAGTAGCTCAGAAGGTGGAGTCAGCTCTGATGAAGATAATGAAGAGAACCTACCGCTCGGGCAAATAGAAAACAACGGTTCAGCAAGAAGTTGGAGAGTTCTTAGAGGAGAACGACTGCCTGAATGCGAGTTCATTGAACACTACCATGGTGTTTTTGGAGTAAAGACTCCTCTTCAGTACTTTGAGCAATACTTCACTGATGACTTCATTAACGAAATGTGTTACAAAGCTGTTCATTATCGTGTGACAAAGGACCCAAACTCAACTTTTACTGTCTCTGCCGCTGAAATGCGCACATATCTAGGTGTCGTTCTCTATATGACGCTGGTGAAATTGGGTGGTGTCCGACGGTACTGGTGCTCAAGTACGCGGATAAACCTGATCGCGGACGTCATTACTAGAGACAGATTCGAGGCTATCACAAAAAGTTTGCACTTCGAAACCGAGACTCCTTCGCCGACTGTTTCCGCGTAACAACACACTTTCGGACCAGAGCCTATCTCAAAATTTTTTTGAATTTCGTGAATATTATCGCAACAAACTGTTGGGCCCAGTACAGGCGAGATGCAGAGCGAGAAGGCGACGGTAAAAAAGACACGATGTCGTTGTACGTTTTCAAGAGTTTGTTGGCGGAGTCTTTGTGTAAAACCAAAGCATCACGACCGGGACGGCGCGCGAGTCTGGATGAAATTCCTATAAAAAGACCACGACCGGGGCCTAAATCTACACTTCCCATGGCTGATATTCGACTTGATAGAACAGGCCATTGGCCAATTGGCATTGGGAGCAGCATGCGGGGTGGAAACTGCAAGATGCCAGGCTGCAAGTCAAAGCCAGTCACAAAATGCGAAAAATGTGACGTTCATCTCTGTGTGGCAGCAAAAAACTGCTTCAAAGTTTTTCATACAGTCGAGAGGCTATGAAAAGTGTTCATAAGTCTCAGACTTCTTGGAAACAAATAAATGATGAAATCAGAAGTTTTTTCAAGAAAAGTTCGATTTCGTACTCAATCAATAGTTGTAGCTTCAATTTGCCGAAAAGTACGATTTCGTACCAGGTCAAAAAAACAGTACCCAAAAATTTTTTTACGTTTTTTAACTTCATTTTTGTGAAACCTAGACCAAATAACGCTGTGTTACGCAGATAAAGTGCTGAAAACAATAATGAGAAAATTGCCGTCCAGTTAAATTACATCGATTGTCCCTCAAAATGATGTGAACTACTTGAAAACTAAACTATTTCATTTTCATTTTCTTGCGTTCAAGTTCTTGCTAGGCAGTCTGAAAATATCTTATGGATACGAACAATATTTATATTTTTAAAATTTCAAGCATCATGGATCAAAAGAGTTGCCTTAACAGAAATCCCGGTGACATTATCTTGTCCAATACAAGTGCGAGAGAAAAATTTCCTATATATTGAATTACTGCAACAGATAAATTCTAGGAGCAAACAAGATAACTGAATAAAAGCTATGGTACAAATTCATTTCAAGACTGAAGAACTTTAAAAAAAATACATTTCCAAGAGGCTTGTCTTCATGCATGGTAATTCCCAGTTAGAACATATTAAATCTTCTTTGACAACCTTGTTAAGTTGATGGGTCCCGCACAAAAAAAATCAATTTTTGTCGATTACAAGGGGACGGAAAAAGAGGCAATGTTTGTTATAATATTGATATTATTCCAATCAGTGCTTTGAATTTAGACTTCCCGTCGTCTGATAGTGGTAGATCAGACACAGATGCGTCGCTCGAAGAGGCCTCTACACCTAGCTTCTCTCTAAGGAAAGTGGAACAAGAGTTGATTCACATGTCACTTCTGGAAGATACAGGACTGAAGTGGCATTCATTGCTGTCTTTGAGCTACGTCTGTGAGTTGTTATGTAACAAACTAGCCATTCGAAAAACCAGTTTTTTCGACAATCCTTGTTTTTGGTTTAAGGGGCCTTCAGCAAAGTTTTGTCGGCTTAAAGACCGCTTCGTAAATTTTATTTCAATGCTAATTTAACGTTGGCATATCGCTTTTTTGACATGTTTTCCTAATAAAGAATCTACTCGCGACAAAATTTTGGTAGATATAATTTGTTTACTCAAGCGAGCTTGCAAGTAAGTATTGTGTTAAAAAACAAGTCCATTTTTCCAAGCCAGCTCGCATAAAATTGTGCTCACATTAGAAGCATGTGTTCTCCGCTTTATAATTGGCTGCAGTTGTGTAGCGCTGGCGACTTGGAATTTCGAGGTACATGGTTTGATTCATTAAAATGAATTTTTTCGAAACTCACTTATGTTTTTGTTTTCTTGCCTTGTTTTTAAACTTATTTAAAGCTACTTCTTGGTTTTTTGCTTTTCGTATTTGCGAATTGCAGCTTCGCCGGAGTGTCGGTTGGATGATTTTCATCTCAATTTTTTGTCTGATAGCTTGCCATGCTGTATCGTTTTGTCATCAAACAACTAGGAATTTCAGCTTCTTGAGTGTTGGTTGGAATTCCGTGCTCGGCTCTTTTCCAGTTCCCCCTTTCAAAATACCGAGTTTTTGTTTGTTTTTCGTGTTATTCCGGCTAAATGCGTGATGTTGCGCTGTAAAGTATGGAGAACAAATCTGTTAACAGTTGTCGATTTGTTCACCACGCCAAATTTCATTGCATTATGACAAGGTTAAATAAGCTTTTCAAAATTGAATTTCAAAGGGGGGGGGACTGGAAAAGAGCCCCGCGCTCAGCCACCGTTATATTTTTCCAAGCCTCATTTGAGTTCCTGTTTGTTTTTCATGAGTTCAAAGTGGAGCTTCACCTCTGTGTTGTGTTATGAGATTACATTTCATTCGGTAACGTTGTTTAGTAGGAACAAGTGTGGCTTGTTTCTGAGCAAAAAGCTCAGAGTTTTGTGACCTTGTGTCAATTCAATCAGTTCTGTTTTTCAGTATTACGTTCAGTATTTCATTTTTTCCTTAATTCTTAATTTTTTGACGGTGTTTTTTTGTGTCGAGAAAAAAATCGAGACTAGTCTGTAAAAACTCAGGAAAATAAGCGAATTGCTGTATAATCAATAGAAAAATCCGACTGGGTCCACTCTCTTGTGTTTTCTTGTCCAATCCACCGAGTCAAACAACTTGAATGTAAGGAAACTTTTTTCACTGTTTTGAAATTCGAAGCATTATTGAAATGGTTTGAGTTCGATACCTTTCTGGATCAACTATGAGCTTGCTTTTGAGGTACTCGAAATTTCTTGTCGAAAATCGTACACTAGACCATAATTCTCTATATCACTATTGAAATGTCGACGGAAGAAAAACTAAAAAGTGGTTATTTCCCAATTGAGTTTTGAAATCTAATTTAGCATTACCGCGTAGTTTCAACGGTCAGTTCGCTGTTTTTCGACGTTTTTGCTTATAATTTTTAAAGGTGTATTTCTATATATACTTCGTTGCTTCCGTCTTGTTTTTATCCACTAGATTGCAATGCTGTGTTGTAACGCAGGTGTGCGAAGCATCGCTTCGCCAATGTGTAATACAGTAATCTAATTACGTATACTTTTCGGTAATTTAGCTATCAAGTTTGTTCGAGGTGACGCCTTTCATGTTTTAAATCAGGTTTCGAACTGAACGAAAACTCAAAAATGATACATAATGGCATCAGTGTATAAAAGGTATACTTTATGATATTGTATGGGTAATTCTATGTTTATTTGTTCGTTTTAGGCAACCAGACGACTGCGTCATTTGGACCCATGAAGGAGTGGATAGAGAGTGAAATTCACATTGAAAAGACTGCACAGAAAAGAGAACACAATGAGAACAAGTGTCATCAAATCACACTTCCGTGCACATTCAATCACAGTGTTAGTAAATATAGTTGATGATTGCGCTTGCGGGAGATTTGCTCGAATAGTAACTTGTTCTTTTGAATGCTATTTTTGGGAGATACGATGTTTTTAATTGTATTGGACCAAAAAGACCGTTTCTTGAGGAATGTCTTCGTAGGAAAGCGAGAGATACTATTAAGGGAAATTGCTGGACTTAAGGGCGAAATGTGATAGATAAATCAGAACTTGCAGGAGTTTCTCAAAATATATAGAATTTGATTCCATATTCGTCCCAAGGTTCTTCACATTGAGATTTGTATGAAATCGTTTTCTTGCTAAGCAGTTTTTGTTTCAAAATTTCCAGAAAATTGAGATCGAATATGCAGATTTAGGCATTAGGTGTGTTCACACGTTATGTTGGTGACAATTCAGGGGCGGATTTAGAGTGAGAAGAGGACCCCCCCCCCCGGGATTCGACCCCCTGCCGACCCGAAGGGTCCCCCTTTATACTCTTTTGAGAGATGTATACTTTTTTTGGGCCAATATATACTAATTTTTTGGAGGGAGCGCACGCCGAAAAACGCTATTTTTGGCCTGTTTTTTCAACATTTCACCTGCGGCGCAGAAATTTTGGTCGGAACAGGGTCTTTTTGATGCTTTGGGAGAGCTCGGAAAATCATTTTGGTCGACCTAAAAAACAGATTTTCAAAAAAAAACATTGTTTTGAAAATCCGCCCCCCTTCTCGAGAAAATCTTAGATCCGCCCCTGTGACAATAACTCTTTATCGTACAATGTTATGTATTTGTTTGAATTTGTTGCTCTTGCGGCTTTATCTCATCCCGCAATCGCAAAAAGTTCCAGTTTCAATTACATTCGGTAAAATATAAAAGTATTCACGATCTATCTACAAAATTGCCTGCTTGCAATTCAACTCACTGGCAGGCTCTCCCGAGAGACATCTAATCAGCAAATACGCGTTCACTGACGAACTTCCTATTCTCGATAGCTTAACTAACTTTACTACTAACAGTAGCTGTGAGAATCAATTAGCCTCACTTGCAGCAGTAGTGTCGCATTTGCAGACCGGCTGACCGACTGTTCTCTAGCCGGCTCAATTGATCTCCAGCTAATGAATACCAACTATACTATATCTTAGTACTAATTGTTTTCTAATAACTATGATAACCAACCGTCCGCTCAACTAGTGTAATTGTTCTGCCTAACGGAAAGCTGTTTGTTTTTCTTTGTTTCTGTTTGATTTTTTGTTATACTTAGAGTTATGATCGTCCCTACAAGTACTGGCTTTTATTTTGCTACCCCTCACGCAAGATCCTAACAGAGTTCTTCCACTGAGGGCACTAGTTATAGGTGCCAAGCTCAAGATATGTATCTCTTACTGAGTTGTTCGAATAACAAGGCAAATCTCACCTCAATAGCAAGTTATGTTTAATTATTCAATTTCCCAAGGACCTAACTTAATTATCCCGTTAGCATTTTGATCTCCGGAGGGTAGAGGGAGGTCCTTTTCAAAGGTAGCTACTTCGTTCTAAGCTTCTAAACTTTCCCATATATACAATTTCAATCACTAACTTTTAGCTATTAGGAGAAAGTAGTTCGTCGTTTAAGGGTCCATACTGCATGCAATTTCTAAGGTAAAAATTCTCAGTCGAGTTCTTAGTTTGCCGAAAGTGTATTAGGATCACCGATCCTACAGAATAAACGATCTGGCGATCTCATAATGAACGCCGTAACCATTATGCCAAGTGCGTAATAAAAAATGTTCTTTACAGTATTCTCTGCTCTAGATGAAGGTCACTGTCCTACTAATGGATCCCCTTGCGTCACTGGAGACGGTAGATATTGTCATGAAGTTGGTACACTATAGAGGGAAAACACTTCCAGGTAGAGAAAGTAGTAGTAATGTGACGACAATTCTGGGCACAGTAGAGACAAGACTGACAATTACGCCACCCAGCGTGGAGGAACAGATAAAGCCAAGTAAAATGTTGTATTTTTTTTACTTATCTCTGTGCTCAAGGTTACTGAGCTGTACGATTTAATCCGTTCCTTCAAAAATAAAGTCAAGAGCCGCGCTAACTCGAAAAGTCAACTTATCGGGTTCTTCTGTAAAACCGATACACTAATTTTTAAGCAGAATGTTAAGTGAAAGATTACATTATACATTTTAATCCACATCGATTTTCGAATTTTTTGTTTTCTCGAGTTATTATTGTTTATCTCAATATTACGTTTTTTTAGAGTCGATGAGCGTAGTTCAGACACTTAAATAGACAAAAAGTGTAAAGGTCAGAAAATGGTGATCGCCTTCTAGTTTAGAAAGTGGAATTTAATTATGAGATTTCCCAGCGGAATAAAAAACTTACCTTTTGATCCAATTTTCTCAAATTGAGTTAATTTAATCAAAAAAGTGGCTTATAAGTCAGTATTTTTTTCTGTTTCCTTGCGTTCATTGACTCTTTTCCAACTGTTTGTTGGCTATGTTTTTGATTGATATAGAAATAGTTCTCTGTTTCAGCTAAGCATCCTTGCGTGGAAAACTTAGTGTCTCGTAGCATAAAAGATCATGCTATAGATAAACAGGTTCTTTTTCAGTTTCCTAAACGTAAAAAAGTAATAGTTCAAAAAAATTTTCACACAAATATATATTTGTTTACAAATTAAGAACATCGAAGTGTTTTTAAATAGCTTCTAGGATTGAAATATCAGGATACAATAAAGGGGGCTGGAAAAGAACCTAGAACAGATTGAAGACAAGGCCAACGTTCTGAACATAGCAGTTACGGCTGTGTGTTTTGTGCTCTTTCTCCTCATAATCACTCTGATCTCTACTCGCAATCTTTGGATTGGAAGCAACTCCTCGAACGGCTTTCGAGTCTTCTTCGCATCGGGATACAGATCTAAAAGTGCATTCAACAATCGCAAAAGTAAGTCAAGCTTGCTAGTTTCAAGCAGTCAAAAAATTTGGTCTTCATTTGTCGAAACCTTCAATGCAGATGGATTGAATTTCAATTTGAATTAGGTCGCTAAAATTAAGCAAAGGTTAGATTCAAAATCTCCGAACAGTATAACATGAAATGATTGCAGGATTCTTTAAGTTGCATAGATATTTAAATGTTCAAAAAGTTGCTGTTAAACTTGTTAAATAAAAGTATTCAACTTATAAAATGTTTACGCAAATCATAGTGTTATCAATCATATTTTTTCTAGAATACGACGAAGCCATGGCTAACGACGAAGAAGAAGACTACGCAGTGCTCATTACTGAGAAAGGATCCGAGTCATTTTCGACCGAAAAGCTCTCGACCGACCATTTTCTAAACAGTGACTCGGAATTGGAACTTTTCTCAAACAGACTCTTCTAAAGTGGAACAATCACAAACAGACTGCTCCAATTCTCTGTAAATAAGTAATTGATATAAGTGCTTTTTTTAACTTTAATTGAAGTTGACTGTCTTATTCAGCGCAATCGAAAAAAGAAAAGTAATGGAGTGGAGATTCATTCATCTTTTATCTTTTTGTATCTCAATACATATTTTCTGCATTCTGTGAAGAAAGTAAAAAGTTATAGAAAAATGTTATTAAAATGTTTTCACGACAAGGAATAACGTTTCCTGGTTTTGAAATTGCAGTAAGAATCACGTTTGAAAATGCTTTCATAATAAATGACTAGACCCAATCTGACGTTATTTGTGCAATTTTGTTCAGGAAAATGAACCACCGGAATCAATTTTTATTATGTCGAAGCAATAGATATCAAATCGTAAACCAACTTAATGTGCCAAAAAGGTTAAATGGGTGGCAAAGGCTGGCTTTTTGGCTATTTCATGTTCGGGAAGGGTAACAGTCAACAAAGTAACTTTGCTAAAACTTAGAGTATTGAACTTCCAAATTTGTTATATTGGAAATTCCAACGAAAAGATGACTCAAATTTCTACTTACTTCAAAATGCTGTCAAGAACGAAAACTGTCAAAAATCCAAAAAAAATGTTATGGCTTTCATTCAAGACAATGAGAAAGTGTTAGATCTTTTTTTCTGGACATTTCAAAAATGGACTATGTGGATTTCGTCTCACATTCAGTCAGATAGACGCGATTTTTTTGTCAAAATTTTCCAAAAAGTGCCCAAAAGCAGCTTTTTTGACCTGTTTTTTAAAAATTTACGGTCTCTATAGAGCTCTATCTACGGTCTCTATAGTGCTTTAGGATATGAGAGCTGGTAAAATCAATTTGGTTGACCTAATAAAAAAAGTCGTCAAAATTTTCGAAAACTTTTTGAAAATCCGCCCCTCGAGAAAATCCTAGATTCGCCCCTGACTAGAACTAACGATTACTTATATCCAGGATTCTTCGCCTTTGCGTAACATAGCATTTTCAAAATGAGCCATAAATATATTTTTTTGTATGAAAAAGCATCTATTATGAAAATGTATGGGCTTTGTTGTTTTTTGTTTGAGACGCTTTGGAAAGTTTTTCAATTTTTCGCAATTTCAAGTTTTCTCAAAAACTACAGTACCGATTTGAAAAAAAAAATTGTACCAGTGGAAAAATTGGCTGCTTTTTTTGATGTGACTGAGTATTTTGCAAGTCTCCTAATTCAAATCTCACGTTCTACAGCCTTCGAAAATTTTACTAAAGGGATTTTTGGACTATTTGCTTTGAATCTTTTCATTTTCTCAAATTTTAGTTGCGCAAATCTGAGATGAAGGTTTCAATCAAAAAAAAAGTTATGAGCATCTCCCTTCTCAAACGGCTGTTCCCTAAATTGGTTAAAAAAGTATATGGCCTCGAACAAGCCCAATTTTTCACATTTTGAATAATTTTTAAAGCTTTTGACTTTTCTCAAAAACTACTCTGCCAAATCGGAGATTAAGGGCTTAACCGAAATTTAAAAAATCTTTTATGCGAATCTTACTTTGGCAAACGTATATGCCCAGCTTTTTGAAAAAATCTGTCCTTGGAAATGTCAAATTTTGAATTTTCGCCCATTTTTTGGAAATTTAATCTTAATTCAAAAACGAAATTGCTGATTTTGAGGTTGAAAGTTCATTAAAACTGGCATTGTGCTGAGATTTTCCCTGCGTTATCTGTTTTACATTGTTTGTTTGTTAGAAAAGCTGATATGGACTTCGGAAAAAATCATTTTTTAACCGTTTTTTTTAATCTTCGTCACTATTCTCGAAAACTCCAAATGAAATCTTATATTCAGGGTTCAATCTAAAAAATCAGGGTGCGGAAATCTTCAATATAAAAATCAGGGTGTTATCGGCTTTGTTATCACATCTTGAAATCGTTTTTTTGGAGCGAGCATTTTTTTGTGCTTTTAGTGTTTGATTTACGCCTACAATTAGTAATTTTACTTACCTTGACTTTGTATTTCCTTCTGTTTTTTTGTTTCGCTAAAAAAAGTTCCTCCGCGCAACTTATTCCAGCCTCTTTTTTTATCGGCTTACTAAGCTAATATTGTGTCCTTTCAAGGGAAAAAATTTATATGCCCACCTCCGCGCTTTTCAAGTTAGTTGCAAGTTTACCAATCGGTTTGATTAAATTTCTTATTTATACTTTATGGAAACTTATTTCCAGATTTTTCAGAAATTGCTATTGATTTTCAAAATGGGTTATTAATTGAAAGACCGCCTGCTCACTGTGTGCCTGTATACTCCCCTAGAGTCTCTCTTTACTTGACCCTTCTGTCTACAGCTTTCGAAAAAGTCTGTGGGGAATAATTGACCCAAATGTTTGATTTTTTCTTTCGTTTTTTTTTGAAAACTAACCCTCTCAAATCTGAGTTTATAGTTTCAAGGAATAAAATTGTTATAAAAAGCTTCCTGCATGAGAGGCTACTCCAAAAATTTTTTTAAACATTAAAATAAGGCCTCGGAGTAGTCAAGTTTTTATTTTTTTTACCGTTTTGTAATTCTTTTTGATTTTTCTCAGAAATTGACCTCTCAAATCTGTTATAATGAGTTAAATGAAGATAAAGGTCAGTGCTAAGCTCCTCTGCTAAGCGGCTACTCACAATGTTTTTTACACAAAAAGTTTCGGCTCTAGGAAAAGTCAAAATTTGACTTTTGAACTTTTTTCTAAAGTCTGAGATTTTGTGTCCAATGGAAATAAAGTGAAATTCTTATGCATAAGTAGCTGCGCCCTTTTTTTCTCACAAAAATTTATGATTCTGGGAAACGTCAAAGTTTTGATTTATTGACCGTTTTTTGGATTTTCTTGCCTACTATCTTGCCAAATCTGATATCATAGGTTTATTCAAAGCAACAGGTTATTGAAAACCTACCTGTTTAATTGACTATGCCCAGTTTGTTTCAGAAAAAGGTTATGGTTTTCAAATAAAAACCGAAGTTTTAAATCTTAAACTGTTTTTTGGACTTAATGCGAAAACTTACCGTGCTTTGACGCGAAAACTTTTTTGACTTTACGCGAAAACAACCGTCCCAATTCTTTGGTTGTATTCCATCGAGAAACCCAATTTTTGAAGTCTTATTTGCTTAAGCGGCCATTTTTGCAGAAAAAAATATGGATTTCGGAAATCCTTTTGACCGTTTTTGGAACTTTTGACCGTTTCTTAGAAACTGTTTTTTGTTTTTACACTATCAAATCTGAGATGATAAGTTCAATTGAAGGAACCGGTTAGGATAACGGTTCCTGCAGAAGTGGCGTTTTTCTGTCAGAGAATTGTTATTTATTTGGGGAAATTGATTATCTCAATTATTTTACTTAATTCAGCAGAGAAACGTATCTCAAATTTTTTACTCCTACTTATTTTAGTAGAAAAACAACTAAGGTTTTGGGCAGTCCATTTTTTGAAATCACAACTTAGTGCCGCATCAGTATAGCAAACACATTCAATGTCAAACACGTACCTCTAGCTTAAGTTCGACCCCTAGTTGTTTTTTATAGAGACTTGCAAAAGTTTTGTTTCACCAATTTTTTTTTTCAACAATGGAATCTTTTTCGACTTCTGTTTTTTAATGTTTGTATTGTATCGCATGTGGTGCGAAGCTCTGCTTCGTAACTGTTAATATGTTAATAATGATTTTTTTTAAGAATGAAACTCGACTTTTTAATTAAAAATTATCAAAAATTCAATAACAAGCTATTGCAAATATTGCATTTTGGTTCCATTCGATTGAGTAATTTTTTTTGTAAATGATGAAATTAAAATTGAGATGAGTTTTTCCTTAACGTTTCCGTTTTTTGATAAAAGATACAATTTTTTGTTCATATAATAAATTCGACGAACTCTGAAGGAGAGATATTGTTTCTGCAAATTTTTTTTGATGTTCAAAGTATAATTACACTAAAAAACGGATCGTTTTGTTGCTGGTTTCCGGGTGATTTTCCAGAAAACAGTTTAAATTTAAGAGCGCATAGTTTCGATGAAAAATTTTTCGTCAAATTTTTTGTTGAAAATTGATGAAAGTATATTGCAAATCTGTATCTTGAATCTGACTGAGAACTTCTGGGAATTTTTTTTTCGAAGTCTTCGACAAAATTTTATAACATACTAAATCTTGATCAGATTTGAAAGGGTTGTTCAATAGTAGCAATAAGTCGAAATATGACTTTTTTCATAAATAGTCTTGAAATCCTGTAAAATGACCATAACAGCAGACCTATCAACTTCACAGACAACAGTGTTTGAAAGAAAAAACAAAGCTCTCGTGCTATATTCTCAACATCAGCATAGTAGAAAAAGTGGAATATTTATGCTTGGGGGTTGTTTTTTCAGCCAGTTTTTGACTTTCAACCAAGAGTTGTAGACCGCAATGGTTGATTGCACTTGAAAGAATTGTTGCACGGAGCTCAAATGTAAAACAAAGTTACCTTGACTGTTTTTTTGAAAAACTATGGGTGTTTGAAAAGTGTTTATTTGCCAATGATTGGCCTAATTAACAATTTTCAACGCCCATAACGTCTCGAAAAATGATCGAAGGTGATTTTTTTTTACTTCTAAGCTCCAAAAAACTATTCCTTTCTGTTGGTGTAATCAGTTTCAGTCAACAACGCTTTATTAAAAAGTCGACACTGATTGGGATCTAAAAGCTTGGATTTTGGGTTTAATGATCAAAAAAGCGCGATGTTTTGCGTCCCTATATTGCGTTAAAATTTAAATAAGAAGGTCATTTATTCTTATTGATAGGATACAAGACGCTGAATACCTGTAGTAGTTTTTATTGGGGGTAATAATTGAAGAGAAATACATTATTTTGAATTGTTTGGACATTTTTCAAACAATTTACATGCTCTTTAAATAGAGTTTGATCATTTAAAGCTTTGCACTGGTATACAGCTGGTCTTTTTTAGCTTTTATCAACACAGAGTACTTTGTTTCAACTGAAACGCAGGAGCGTCTACTTACGTTTTTTGCGTTCACACAGGAACCAAAGTATTACGAATTCATCATTATTACGACTTTAGTTATTGCGTCTCAAGTTATACGCTCTGTTCGTCTGACTCTCCATTCACATCAACTCAAAACTTCACTTCATTCAAAGTTACTGTATCGGTTGACAAAAAATGTAGCGGCTGATTAAGGGAATACCCTTAATTGGAAACACGGACTGCGTGCATGGAAAGCTTTGTGGTATCCAATTTGTAGATTTTTATTGGTGAAAAAGATGTCGGAAGAATAAAGAAAACTGATACATGTTTTTTTTCAAATCAGTTGGGTGTCATCTGTCCAAAAGCATCCATCCTGTTCTGCAG